GCCCGATCGCGCATGCAAGCCGAGGTGGCTTCGAGGCGTCTCAAGGGGGGCCAGTCGAGGGGGGGGCCTTCAGGTGCTTCCTTCACCAGGTCGCGATGCGTCGGGGTCTGGCTGAGCCACGCGGGGGCCACTTGCGCCCCCCAAGGGGCCTAGGGCTGGAAAGGCAACCGCCGTCGGCAAATGGTCCGAAGGTTCAAACCGCGCCGGCCGACTCCACACCTTCGCCTGAAGAGTCAGATCCGACAGCAGCGCGCAAGGCAGGTTAGTATAAATACGATCGAGCCTAGATGTGCGTGTACTCCCGTCGCTGCCCCACCCGCGTCTAGTCGGGTCTGGTTGGTAAAACCTGCCCACATCCCACATGTAGCCCCGAAGTACTGAGTATGCCAGCGGCCCCCAGGTTCCCAAAGCCCCCCGTCATCGGCCCATCGCCCCCCCTCCTCCAAAGCAAAATTCCAATCGCCCCCAATCACGTTGGCACATGTCGCGGCCGAGGGTGACGCACTGCACGCATCGCTGAGCACCTGTCGATGCAGCGGGCGCCCATGGCAAGTATTCGGCATGTGCGCGTTAGCCACGCATAGCGACCCCTTGGGGCCATCGCACAGCGAGAGCAGCACTCGTCCCTCTCGCGGAGTCCAATGCTGGATGCGAGTGAAACATGATGCAAACGAACTCTCAATAATCGTGATGATGCCTCCGTCAGCGGAAGCCGCGCACATCGAAGCACCGGCGTTGCTCCCGCGCATCTGCTGTCGCAGACCCCCCCCCCCCCCCCCGCATGGCCCTGGCACCCCTGCGCGCGCGCAGTGTCATATCGGTCACACAACTGCACGACCTTGCGATGCCATTGCGTAGCTAACTCCTCTCCATACCGTGCTGCTGCGCTCCAGATCACCATGGGGAAAAGAACGGGTGGGGGAGCAAGGCAATTCCGTAATATCCGCATCATCATCCACGCCTGAACTATCAGACGAACTGTCATCCGTCGTAGATGAGGAGGGGAGAGGAGGAGGAGAGCTGAAACATAGCAGCGGCGCAATCAACCGCAGGAGATCCCGCGGTGCATTCCGTCGGCGCAACGGTCGCTGCGTTAGTGCACGCGGCGGCCCGATGCGAATTCAAAAGGGGCGTCTCATTGCCACCTGCGCAGCCTCGTGCAGGTTCGCCTTCTCAGGCGTGAGGCTGAACTCGCCCAGCGCGGCATCATCGAACTCAGCCTGCACGTCGTTGCTGCCCTCCACGACCGTGATGTGGGCACATTGAACGGGGTCTTCATCCGCGCGCAGGATATATGCATCTCCACCAGCCCATTAGACCCAACAGCAAAGCGACCGTTCAATATGCTGTCAAGTTGCTGGCGGAGCCTACCCATCGAGAGGAGCAGACGCCTGTCCTTCAGCGCGAGGTCGCGTCTCACCTTGAGAGCGAATTGACCGCCCTTCGGATCGGGAAACTGCCACCCTCGATCTTCTGGAAGTTCGAGAGGAAGTCTGGGGCCGCCGAAGCGTTGCAGAACTCAAAAATCGCTTCCCGGTTCATGCCGAAGGCCTTGATGACCACGGTGTTCTGCGAGCTCTGCGGGGCGCAGCGGTGCCGTGCCACTTCAGCAGCACGACGAAGTGTCGATTGCATGAGAGGGCGAGTGAAGCCGAGAAGCATCAGACGCGATGCTCCTTCCTGCTGCTGAGAGCTGCTAAGTGCCGAGCTGCTTCCTGTAGAGGATCGCGTTGACGACGGGCTCCTCGCACGACGACGTCGAGCCGAGGGGCCTTCTTCAGCACCGTGATGAGGATGCTGAACGTCGGAGAGCTGGGGCTCCAACTTCGCAACCGTCTCCTCGAGCTGCGACACGCGCACTTGACGTGTTGCTTCTGCTGAGACGTCTGCCATTGCATCACAAGCACCTTGATACTGTTCCATGCTAGCCTCGAGGATGTCCAACCGCGCAGCCATCTGGTTGTAGCCCTCACGTGATACTGAGACCGACGACGAGAGCTCAGCCTGGATCGCATTCAGCTTTGTGTCCATGCTCGTGAGTGAGAAGATCATCGACTTCGCCCATTATGGCGCTGCCTCTGCAGCCATGTCTGAGCGCGTGTGTGCGAAAAGAAACCTGGGGAAAGGCAGCTGGAGCGCTAGAGGGCCTCTCCCTCCAAACAGCTCGAGCCAGCGCCTGGCACACTGCCGAAGCTAATCGCTGATTCTCGTTCCCCCGAACCTTCGCAGCGTTTAGCCTTGAGCCAAAATTGCTACGGATGATGATGATGATGATGCTGATAATGTTGTTGATGGTGATGAAAGTGATGATGCTGATCCATTTCGCTAGCCAGAGAAAACGTGGTCGTCGATCTTGTGATCATCTCAATCATCACATTGCACCGGTCAATGACTGGACTTCTTGAACCCAACGCGGACCGGATGCTTCCAAACTCTAAGCGCTTTCTGCGCTGTCTGACTCCCTGAGCGCCTTCATGATGGCCGATGCCGGACAAATCGTGGCGAAAACCTCGCTCTCGTCGCCGCCCAATAGGAACAGTCACAGAATGTGCCGATGAGGATGGAGAGCGACCTGACTGTGATGGTGGCGTGGTGAGCGGCGGAGTAGATAGCGCGAGTGGCTCTGACGACGGCGTCGCGCAGCGCACGTCGACGTTTATGATCGATGCATTTGTTGAACAGGACTTCTCTGTCCTGCCATAGTCAACTGCGGAGTGGCCGCCCAGCTACCGATCTCGCACGCGACTGCGTCGATGTCGACCAGGGGTTCCACCAGAGTCGCCGGCGTCGGCGTCGAGCGCTCCGAAAAAAAACCCTCGCTGAAGCCGCGGCGCCAGGGCCGACGGCGACGGGGTCAGAGAGCCAGTAGTCACTATAGTCGTCGGTGACTCCAGCTGCGAGCTGGATACTTTGCGGCGGGTCGTCGACCTCCCATGCAAAAGAGCCCTCTGTGGAACGCGGCTGCTGGGCGTCATGCCTGCCTCGCTGCTGTCGGCGCGCTCCAGGAGCAGCCAGGGTCGCTGGGGCCCCCCGGTGACGAAGGGTGCCACTGCCCTTGGTGCCCGTATCTGCTGACCGAGAAACCCACCGCCCATCGGTCTGGAATCTGCGACGCCGTTGCTGTAGCAACCGTGTGCGCACACGGCTGCTTACCCACTCATGTCGTTGTAGCAGCCTTGTTTCGATTGCGTCCTCTGATGGGGGCGCGAGCCGTTCCTGGCGGTGCCGATGTTCCCATTGCGTCTAGCCACTCTGGTACTCGTCCTCCTCTGCCTCAACCAACTCTCCAGACTTCTGCAGCTAGCGCCTTCTGTGCTTCACAAGTTCGACGAGACCCGAAATCCTGGGTTCGTGTGTCCCCTGTTGAGCGGGCCCGTCTTTTTCCCGGAAAAGGCCCCAGAATGCTCGAGAAGCGTGAAAACATATCAGTTCCTAACGCCCCAGGGCGGGACAAGAGTGAAAACATATGGGTTGCCCCGGGAAAGGGGAAGCGCGAAAACACATGGGTTCCTAACGCCTAGGTGCAATGCTTGTTTTCACGTGCCCAGATCGTGATGATGTCTCGAGCGAGACGCTTGATGTCACGTGTCGAGGTTGCCCAGGCGGATGTCTCGTATGAGGAGGTGTTGAGAACGTCTCGAGCGAGACACTTGTTTTCGCGCGTCCAGGCCGTCCAGGCAGATGTCTAGCATGAGGATGTGTTGAGGATGTCTAGATCGAGACGCTTGTTTTCGCGTGTCCAGGCCGCCCAGGCGGATGTCTTGTATAAGGATGTGTTGAGGATGTCTCGAGCGAGACGCCTGGTTCCACGTGTCCAGGTCGCCCAGGCGGATGTCTAGAAAGAGGAGGTGTTGAGAACGCGTGTTTTCACGTGTCCAGGTCGCCCAAGTGGATGTCTAACATAACTATGGGCTGAGAACGTCTCGAGCGAAACGCTTGTTTTCACGTGCTCAGGTCGCCTAGGCGGACGTCTAACATGAAAATGTGTTGAGGATGTCTCGAGCAACATACTTGGTTTCACGTGTCCGGTTTGCCCAAGCGGATGTCTGGCACGAGGATGTGTTGAGGATGTGGTGAGCGAAATGCTTGTGTTCGCGTGTCCAGGTCGCCCAAGCGGATGTCTAGCACGAGGAGTTGGGCAAGACGTCTCAAATGAAACGCTTGTCTCCAACACGTTCCGTAGCGTGTCCCCTTGGCACGCCCCGCGGTGCGTCTCCGTGGCACGTCCCCTGGCAAATCGCCTGGCGCGTCCCCTGGGACGTTCCGTGGCGGGTCCTCCTGACTTGTCCCCCTGTCAATTGGCTTTGAGGCAACTACTGTCCAGATCAGTTCGGTCAGCGGATGTCAAAGAGGACTCGATCCACAACACTATAGAGCACAATCGCGGCATGGCGCAACGCAATTCAACACGGCGCAGCACAGCACAGCTCTCGGCACGGTACATCAGTATCGATACAGTCAGCATTGCAACCTGGCACGTTCCCTGGTTCGTTCCGTGGCGCACGTCGCGCGATGCGTCCCCTGGCACGTCCCGTGGCACGTCCATTGGCACGACGTCGCATGGCGCGTCCCTCGGGACGTTCCGCGGCGCGTCCTCCCAGCATGTCCCCCTGAGCTCTGGGGCAGCTGCTATGTACTCAGGCAACTCGAGGTTAAGATCCAGATCAGTTCGGTCAGGACTCGGATGGTAAGGAGGACTCGCTCCACAACGCTATAGAGCACAACCGCGGCATGTCACAACGCAATTCTGCACCCGCAGCACAGCACAGCCCTCGGCACGGTACATCAAGATTGCTACACTCAGTACTGCACTTGCCCGTCGCCCAATCAGGTGTAACTGAAACGTTGCCATGTCTTACATTCTATATTGATGTCCAGGTTCGTGGGTCGATCATGTTTCTGCTCTAGCGTTCGCGCCCCCCGTTTCCTGGGTGTTGCTCATTTCCTTGGGTCGAGGTCTTCCTCCCCATGCCCCCTCCTCCTCCTCCTGAACCCGCTGCCTCGCCGAGCTCGGGGTGCCATACCTTCTCGCGCCTCTGCCACGGCGCCTCGGGGGGAGGGGGGGGTCCGCCCACAAGGGAGGAGGCTGCGGATGAGAAACAAGGAATGGATCGGAGGGATAATGAGAGGTCTGGGGGTGGCAGCAGAAGGACGGAAAGAAAGGATGCCATCCTTCTCCTCCCCCTGCGAAACGGGGAACCACGTTGCGGCCCAACGGGCGTTCCGAGCGGACATCAGGGCCACGGAAGGGCCTCCCCCTCGAGTGGAAGCAGCTGGGCAGGAGGGAGGTCAAAGGGGAAGGGAGAGGGAAGGCAGGGCAGATGGAGGGAAGGGAGAGAAGTAAGGGAGGAGAGGGGGAGGAATAATAAGATGGAAAGGGGGGGCCAGGGGGCGGGGCGGCTGGCCATCAATAGGCGGCTCACTGAGTTGACCCCAACTTCTGTTTAGCTGATACGCCTCCCCTCTTTGTTTCAGAACTGCACCTCCGCAACTCTTCGTGCGACAACTATTCTGGATTGGTCGGTTTGGGCTGTGCTTTGCACAAACGAACTTGCCATCAAAACAACTTCCGCGATGAATCCCCCATGTGTGCCAATCTGATCCGTGTTGCTCATTACAGGCAGACAGGCAGAGGCCCGCTCAAACCACAAGGGTTGGTCCATTATCTACATGTCAACTTGATTCAACCTTCTCGCAACGATATCGTCAATTGAGGTGTTGAGGTGCATTCGAATCGGACCACAGCACTATGAATACCCTTCATTGTTCGACGTTGCTCATTCACCATACGTCCACATTGCGTCCAGATCGGGGAAACCTCACATCTCAGTATGTGTTATGTCAAACAGCGCGCTTGGCGCTTGGCCCTGAAACCAACGGGTGCACGCTCCTCTCATTGCCGAGGCCTGCGGCCGCGCCTCGGAACCCAATTTTGCAGCCGCATTCGGTAGCTCCTCCTCCTCCTCCTCCTCCACCTCCCCTTGGGCCCCGTCACAATCGAACTGACCTGTCCTGGAGCACGATCTTTCCTGGGGTCCCAATCGAACCGCGGCGACGACTGCCGAGGGCCCCCCAGGAGGAACAGAAAACACAATATAAACATGCAAACTCAGAAATCCTACGTTGGGTCCTCTTCCGTCAGTATCCCTCGAGACTCCTCGACCCTCGAGAATCCTCGATGCTCGAACCTCATCGATCCTCGAGCCTCCTCCTCGGCCGAGGCGACTGGTCGGTTGGAACGCGGTCTCCGCTGCGCGAGGACATCCAGGGAAGTCTGGGAAAGGTCCACCAGAGACCTCCGAAGACCAGGGAATCCCACCAGCCCTCTGGGCTTAGGTGGTATAACGCGCTTGTTCTTCTCTCTTCCACTGGAACCCCTCCCCCTACCCCCTCCCCTGGGCCAGGAAGGGGGGGGGGTACCGAGGCGTTAGAGCGTCCAAGATGGCCCAAGATTGCTCCAAGAGGGCTTCGAAGTCGCAAGATGGCCTCCAAGATGGCCCATGCTACTTCAAAATGGGTCAAGATAGCCTCCGACATACCCCCAAGAGGCCCCAAGACAGCCTCAAGACGGATCCAAGTGCCCTTCGAGCCCTCCGCGGCGCCCTCCAAGATGCCAAAGCCGTTCAAAAGCCTAGGGAAAATCATGTGTTTGGCATTATCGCCTTTTCGCTTCCGATGGGCTTTGGAAGCCTCAAGATGGCCCAATGATGGCCCAAAAGAGCCCCCAGGAGGGGCCCAAGAAGGCCGAAGACGGCCTCAAGAACGCCCAAGAGGCGCCCAAGAGCGCTCCAAAAGGGCCCCAAGATGCCGTTTGAGAGCCTCCGAGGGGCGCCCCGAATTTCCATGGTGCCCAAGACGGCCACAAGAGGCCTTCCAGACACCCCAAAGAGCCCCAAGAGTCGCCCAAGAGGCGCCCAAGAGCGCTCCAAGAGGGCCCCAAGATGCCGTTTGGGAGCCTCCGAGGGGGCGATGCTAATTGAGGGACCTCCTCTTTTTGAGCCACGGGGCCCAAGATGACCCCAAGAGGCCTCCCAGCCTCTCCTCAAAGACCCTCCACCCCGCCCTGTTTGGCCCAATATGGCTCCAAGAGGGCCCTAGATATGCAAATATGGTTTTCAAACTGGCCTAAGATAGCCAAGCATGGCTCAAGATAGCCTCCGACAGACCTCCAAGAAACCTCAAGACAGCCTCAAGATGGCCCAAGATAGCCGAGCATGGCTCAAGATAGCCTCCGACAGCCAATAGCCGAGCATGGCTCAAGATAGCCTCCAAAGAGGCCTCAAGAAAACTGGCAATCAATTCTGGATGGGCTGGTGGGGAGAAGCGTCAAGAATTTCTAGCATGTTATCCCGGCTGGCCGGTCGGTGGCGGCCGCCCCGCGGCCTCGCACTCGCCCCAAAGGGGTGGCAGCTGTGCCTGGACGCCGCGGTGATCGCCTCAGCCACCGCGCCGGTTCCGCGTCTGGCCGCTGGGCCGCCTCGCGCCGCCAGCCCCCCGGCCACCGCGCCGGTCGCTCGGGCGACGGCGCTCCGCGCCGCCGCGCGGAGTAGGATGGAGTGGCGATGCTTGTCAAGAGTGGCGGGAAATCTGCCGACCCTGTCGGCGTGTGGACCCCCTGTGGGCGTGCGCTCAGTCGACGCATCCGTTGTCCTCTTTCCCTTTGTTCTCCGTCGTCCCCTTTCCCTGCACCCTCCTCTTCAAGCCCGCCAGCGAGAGAAAACCGTAGCAACGTCGTACTTAAATCGAATGGACGCTCCTTCCCTTTGATCCCTCCCCCGCCGAGGGGGGGTCCCGGGGGGGAGGGGACCGGGGAGTCAGATACGCATCCGCCACTGGGCATCCCCGAGCCCCAAAAAGCGACAAGAGTGCCCTAAGAGGCCCGCAAGAAGGTCCAAGAGTGTCCTGGATCGCCGAACGATCTGTCCAAGAAGCCTTCACGGCTTCCAGATGGGTCGAGAGGCGTGCAAGACGCCCCCAGAAGCATCCAGGATCACTCCCAAGACGGCCCCCGTGAGGCAACATTCATTGATTTCCTATACGTTTTGGAACGATTTGGGTTTTCTGGCCTTTTCTGCTTCCCGACGATCCAAACTGGCCCAAGAGTCTTGCAAGAACACCTCGAGACGGCCCCAGGGGTCTCTTTGAGAGAGTCCCACAAATGCCCAAGAGCAGTCTAAGACAACTCAAGACGCCTTCAGGACGGCCCAAGCAACCCCCAGGAGCGCTCCAAGAGCGTACTGCCCAAGAGGCCCCCAAGAAGGGCCCCAAGCAGGTCCAAGAAGACGACCACGAACCGACATTGCGAGCTTCCCGCCCCAAGAAGCCCCCAGAAGGCCCCACGAGCTCCTCAAGGGGCCCGAAGAGGCCCCCAACAGACCCCAAAGAAGCCCAATAGAGGCCCCAACAGGCCCGAAAATATCCAAGAGGCCTTTCGACCACAACCCTAGCACGGTGGCGAGAAGGACCGCAGGCCACAAGGCTCCCTGTCTGTCTCTGCTACGACTCCATCGGCCCACATGCGGAACATCTCCTTCGCCTTCTCCTGCTCCCTTCCACCTTAATCCCCCTCCTCCTCCTCCTCCTCCTCGTATTCGTAGTCGTAGTCGTCGTCTTCAGGCTCGGCGGCACAGGCCGTAAGGCCTTAGCAATATGATGAGTACGAGGAGCAGTCATGATGTCCCCGCCCGCCCTCCCACCGACACATCCTCACTCAAATACTTTTGGCAATCGCAGCCTCGCGCGCAGCGACGAATTGGCGATCGCGGCCTCGCGCGCAGCGACGAGGCGGAAAAAGTCCCCAAGCGGCGAGAGCGCGCGCGGCCGGCCCCTCAGAGGTGGGGCAGGGATCCGAACGACCTACATAGTTACCATGGAATGGGCAAACTCCACCAACCATCACAACGCGAGTCCACAGCAAAGAGCTGGTATGTAGGGCGAGCAAAGGGGAAGGGTGCGAGTGGCAGGTGTTATACACCAGCCGATGTCCGCCCCGCACCACGAGGACACCGACGTACCTCGCGCGAGCAACGGCGCGCAGCGGGAAATCCTGCCCGTGGAAGGGAGGATGACCTCCGACCGAGGGTACCCTGGGCGGCCTTGACGGAGGCACCAACGCACGACCACCGCGCGGCAGCAGGTAACGCGCAGGGGGCGGTCAGGGGAGCCGCAGCAGCAACGGCGTTGCACAGCTGCGTGGCGCACCATGGGGAGGACCCAACACCAAGCCCTGCAATACAATGCGAGTGGGGGCACCAGCCGAAGGTGCACCAGCCGCAGGGGTGGGGCAGCACCGAAGGAACCAAATGCCCGTAGACATCGGACAAAGGAAGGGGTGACATGCACCGCACCCCGAAATCCACGAGCCAGCCACCCCACCGTAAATCCAACGTAACGGTAAGGAAAACTAAATACACGACCATCGGCGTCAACCCAGGAAGAGAGACTGTGCGAGGGCGGGGTCCACAGGCGCTGCGCCCCCGCAGTGGCGCGGTGACAGAATTAGCGAGCACTGGGCCATGACTGCGGCGAGAAGCCGAGACCCCAACAATATGGACGGAGAGAGAAATACGGACGAAACAGCGAGCATCTCAGGATCAGGCCCAGACTCAGAGATCGAGATTAGCCTCGCGCTCACGGAGCATCGCCCTCAGAGCGGCATCATGCAGACGATTGCGAAGTTCCTCCGCCGAACGCGCGGCGCAGGTGCCCGGCATTTCGGGCTTCGATCCTCCGACGGAGGAGCGGTTGCCACAAACCTTGCGGACACGGGGCCTCCAGGGGTCGTCGTGCCCGCCAGCGACATGACTGGACAAGGGACGGGCCATCCCCAGAGGGCAGACAAAGGTCAGTATCCCCCGCCGCATTGGGCCATGCCGGCTGCTGGACCACGAGGAAAAGAGGGATGCATGAAGAGAGGATGGGCCAGGAAGGATTCCAAGCTTGCCGAGGTCGACGGCAAGGAGATCCGGCGTCTCTGCATACTGCTGCCGCTTGTTCGCACCTCCTGCCCAGGGCCCGACGTCGAACAAGGAATAAATGCGCCGAGTCCAGGGAGAAAACGAGTGGATAGTGGACGCGTGTTTTCTCTGGACGGCATCCATGCATGCCGCGGCCGCAATGTCCCGATCCTTGCCTCAACTGGGGCCCATGTGACACAAGCAGGGGAGCCGCGCATCGCCGCCTCTAAGCAGGTCGGGCCACGCCTGGTGGGTTCGAAAAACATGGAACCCATGGAGTCTCAATGTCCAAAAGCTTCGGGGACGCGCGGTAGCGCAACAGGTCATCAGAGCCCACGCGCCGAAAATAGCAACTCATATCCCCTCCATGGCACCTGGCAAGCGTACACACCCCTCGAGATCAGACCCCGAGAACACCCGTAGCCACGCGGGGTGCAGGGGAGGTGTTCCAGAACCTTGATCCGCGTCCTGATGGAGGGGGCATGGCTTTACAACTGGCTATCACCATCCTATTTTAGCAGACGTCGTATATTGCCGAACCGCCGTCGCTGAGCAAATCCCCTGCACGCTGCCTGGAAAACTACAGACACATGCCAAGGGCGTATGGTATTCGATTCACTGCCATGCACCATCAATAATTCCCATCGGATCTTCCCCGATGCCATCGGAATCCGTTCCCAAATGCCACGGGCAAAGAACTGGTCGGCGACAAAACAGTGTTGGGGTTGCTGGGTTCCTGCGGTGTCTGTCCCAACGCTCGGACGCTTGCGACACCCGACTGCCATGTGCAGGAAGAGGTTGGACAAATTTGCCATGGCTCCGTTTGGCAGCTGTTTGCAATGATTCAAAACTGTGCGGAAGATTACAATGGTTTTCAGATGCTTCTGCAAGTGATGCTTCTGGATGAGAGAGATTACGGGATGGGAAGGCCCTCCAGAAATAGCCTGACAGTGGAGGGCGATCGCGAATCCGTGGACGCAGCTCGTCAGGCCCTCCTCCTCCTCCTCCTCCTCCACCTCCTCCTCCTCCTCCTCCTCCCCCTCCTCCTCCATCTCCTCACAAGGGGACGGGAAGGAAGAGGCGGGAGCAGGTTGGGGAGGAGTGGAGGACTGGAGGAGGGGGAGGTGGACTGCCGCCACGCGCGCCCGCCGCTCGGCCGATCCGTAGTTCGCCGTCGCTCGGCCGCTTCTCGGCCGTCGCCCAGTTTCGCTCGCGGGCCGGCGCCGTCGCTTGTCCTGCCGTTTCCCCGTTTCCCAGTTGCCGTGGCTGGCATGCGGGCAGCCTCCCCCCCCTAGGCCACAGAACCATGCGCTTCGCGCTCCGCGCCGCGCGAGGCATGTCGCACCCTCGCGCCGTCCATCCAGAGGAGACTCACTCGCCAACCCAGGACGCAAGGCGACATCATCTACGCGCACCTGCGGGTGGCCTGGGCCAGGCCTCCTCCCGCAGCCTCCCTCCCTCACCTCCTCCTCTACCTTCAATTTCTTTGAGGAAATGCCCACTGGGATTTTTCGGGTGCTAGTGCAGTGCTTTGCTCCAGGTGATCCCCTCCCCCTTTCCCCTGACTCCCTCTCCCTCCTGCCCCTCTTCCTCCTGCTTCTCTTTCTCCTGCTTCTGATCCTTGTCCTGCACATGCTAACACCAGCTCTCTGCCACGCTGATTGCCGCAGATATGGGCTCGCCACCAAGGCTGCCGTAGCCCTGGTCCTGGAAGGCCGTCTCCTGACTGGCAAAAGAAATAACGAAAGCGTCCATGGAAACATCGCGCGGAAGGCATGGACTGCCGCAAGAAAGCGTGGTCAAGGATGACAACGCCGACCGCGGCGTGACGAAATTGAACACGCGCTCAAGCGACGCATCTTGCGCATCAAGGTCGTTGCGCGTGTACCACTTCGGTTTAAAAATTAGTCGGACGAAAGACCCAACCATATGCAGGCGTGAGTACCGCAATTGTGATTCATTTTTTCGGTGGTGATCCCTGTGAGGCAACGAGCCGTGCCAGGGGTGTGCCGAAATGAGTGGCGTGGTACACAAAACGAACGAAAACGATTGATCTGAAAACGTAAGGATACTGAGCGCGGGTGAATCTGAGCGCGAATGCGTCTGACTGTGAATCAATCTGCGCGCGAGCGAGTCTACGCGCATGAATGCGAGTATGACAAAGCATGGTGTAATTGTACATGAACGCCAACCGTTTGAGAATGACTGCTTCCAAGTACTCCTGACGCTGGGGGTGGCCGCCGCAAGGAGCTCCCCCAGGACTCCCCGACGGCATCGCCCGCGCGCTGCGACGCCAATGTCGCCGCACCCCCCCGCGAGGATCGCGCCCGCCCCCTCCCCTTCATTGACTCCCTCTTTGCCTCTTTGCCCGCGCACTCAAAAGTCTAAGGTTGCGGGCGCAGCGCGGCGCGGAGCCCCCGTGACGCGCGCCGGTCGCCCAGGAGGGGCCCCGGCGACGCGCGCGGGTAGTCCGCTGCGCGGGGCAAAAAGAGCTAGCTGGCTGGCTGATAGCGAGCAAAGTTCTTCGCCGGGCAGAGCGACGACGGGCGAGCGAGGCGCTGGGCAGAACGCAGCGCGGAGCCCCCGCGACGCGCGCCGGTCGCCCCGGAGGGGCCCCAGCGACGCGCGCAGGTCGTCCGCTGCGCGGAGCAAAGAGAGCTAGCTAGTTGGCTGGCTGATGGCGGGTAAGGCTCTCGCCGCTGGGCAGAGCGACGACGGGCGAGCGAGGCGCCGGGCAAAACGCAGCGCGGAGGTCCTGCGACGCGCGCCAGTCGCCCCGAGAGGGCCCCAGCGACGCGCGCGGGTCGTCCGCGGCGCGAGGCCAAACAATTCGTCAGACCGTCGAGAGACGGCGAGGCTCGGGCGGGCCGCTCCGCAGACCAACAAGCCTCGCGGATAAACTCGGCGAAGCCCAACTCCCTGGCGAGGGCCGTCGCGTCCCTCCAGCGCCGCTTCGCGCGCGCAGCAAACTGCTCCAGCTGTTTCTGCATGCCCTCCGGCAGCCCTGCCAGGAAGACCTCGGCGCGCGGCGCCCGCATCGGCAGGAGATCCTCGTGGCGCGTGGCGCGCGGGAGCAGCGCGCGGAGCTCCAGCCCCCAGTCGTCGCCCTCCTTCTCGCCGATCCCTACTTTGCGGCGGCCGCAGTCCAGGATCACGCCTGGGCGACGTCGGCCGAGGGAGCAGCGCGCCGGAAAAGGCGGCGGCCCAGGGCGAGAGTCCACGGGACAGAGAGAAGGTCTGGCTGCGGACTGCTCGCGCCCAACAGGTCTGGCCGAAAACTGCCCCAGAGCGCAGTTCGCTCGCCCCGTGGCCTTCGCGCGTGCTGCGCCCCTGGCACGCCACCGTGGCGATGACCCTGCCGCGCGAGAGCGGGGAGTCCGTTCGGGTGACTTTGGAGGTGCGGAAGGTGAACGGCTCCGACGTGCGAGGCTCGATGAGCACCAGCGGGCCCGTGAGGTCACCCGCGAGGCTCTCGTCGTGGCGCTTGAGGTCGTCCACGAGGGACGCGCTCGCGTACTTCTCCATGCGCGCCCAGAACCCCAGCGGCAAGCGTTTCAGATCGATCCTCTTCTCCCCGTCTCTCTCGGCCTTGTCGACGTCGCTCCGATCTCGAGGGTCCTGTGCAAAACTACCCGGGACTCACCACCAGGATGGGGTCGAGAGGTCTGGGGGCTTTGCGACGCGACCGAAAATCGGAAGCTGGGGCCCTAAACAATACTTCCCACCAGGATGGGGTCGAGAGGTCTGGGGGCTTCGCGACGCGAAACACATCGGAAGTCTGAGGTTTCACCCTCCTGGCCAAGATGTCTCCCCGTGCTCCGCTGCTCCACTCTGATATCCGTCCTCCCCTACCCGTCATCCTCCACCTTCCCGTCCTCTTCATCATCCTCCTCATCATCGTCGTCAGCAGCGTCAGGTTAGTCATCATCCGCAGCGGCAGCATCACGATCATATATGTTCTATATGTTGACGACACTTTGTTGGCCTCACATCACCGAGAGAACCTGCAAAATATTCTCAACGCCGTCGTCGAGGAGGGCGCGAAGTACGGCTTAGAGCTGAATTTGGATAAGACTGTTCAGATACAGATCTCCACAGGAATGAGTATCACGAGGCCAGATGGTGTTGCTATCAGCGCGATGCGGGAAGCCGTGTATTTAGGTGGGCTCATCACTTGCGACGGAAAGGCTGCATCAGAACTCTCACGGAGCATTGGAGAAGCGACTGGGGTGTTCAACAAACTTCGGA